TTTCCCCCTCATCTGTACTGCTTGGATGTATAAGGCTAACATGTCAAGGAGAAAGCTACCCTAGAGTCCACTCTGGTGTGCTGGTGGTGTTCCATGAATTGGGGAGAGCTTGTTTTTATGTGAAAGAGTCCATAAAAGCATCCATCTTCTGGAGCAGGGGAAGAAAGATGGAGCTCATTCCCTTGAACTTTACAATGCCTCGTTCCTCCAAATCAAGGTCCTTTCAGAGGGTGCTACTAAAATTCCAAGTCAAACTGACCTGTGCCTCAGCCTGATTTGGAAAGCTGTTACCAACACTGAAAAGTTGATACTGATATGCACTGTGTTGGCTTGAGTACAACGTCATTATTTTAAAACCCTGGGTCTCAGCTTTCATATATTAAAGCTCAATGGGGATATATTCACACGTGTCCTGGAAAAACCATAGCAGCTGGAGCTAGATCATTTTGTATGTGCAAGGGGAGCCTTTTACACATTACTTCTGAATATGGTCATTTTGTTATATCCTATGGTTGTGGCTGGCTCAGTCTCAGCCTGAAGAGAGGACTAGAGCTAGTGAAGATGAACAGAGGGTGAAAGGGAACCCAAAAGAAGGATTAGCATAGGGCCAGGAAGACTATGATGTTTTATGAACCAGACACAAGAAGAACAGCCTAATGCTCTCTTGTGCAAACACTAGACTAGATCTGCATGCTTACGACGCCAGCGCAGTAATAGGACAGGGAAAATGAACAGTCTGCTGCTGGCTTAGAATAGAAAACAGACATGGAGGCTTGAGGGTGTTATGCACAAATTATAAGTAGTGCTAACAATGAAAAAGCAAAACAGAACACTGGGCACCCACCCAGCACTTGCTAACTCGCAGAGGTTTGGCTAATGACATGTCATGGGAAAGGAAGGACAGCATCCCAGTTCTCCCCTCACATTTCTGTTGAGGAGGGTGACCACAAATAGCTCCATTGTTTTGGCAACAGAAAACAGACAAATTTCATTATTATTCATTTGGTTTATGTGACTGTAGTTAATTTTGGGTGCCATTTCTGGGCTTCGGACTGAATGAGTGAGTTAAAAATGGCCAATACTGTACTAACCAAAGTACACTATTACAAATTTCTAAGCTGTAGTCCTAGGTGACAGTCCACGATCTATTTACCTTGAAAGTAAGCTTCCACAGTTCATGCCAAAGGAAATCTTAATAGCAATACCAGTAGTAATAGCCTAAGTACAGCCATTGCCCTAACACATGTTTTTGCATTATAATTATCTTTGCTCACATCTGTCATAGCTTCATTCTCAGTTCTTTACAGGCACCTCCTGTCTTGTTGTCTACAACATTCTAAAAGTGGCAAGTCACCCATCCCTGAACGTTCAGTGATTAGAGATAACTCTGAAGTGTTGTCATAGTTAAATTCTTCCTGATATATTACTTACCCTGGATCTCCTTTTTTGGGAACCCTCAGGCTTCTTTACTCTCACAAATGGCTTTTCATCAACAACAGTATATCTTGATGTTGGTGAGGAAGGGACAGGGAATCTAGCCTTGGTGACTGAGAGTGATTTTGCAGTGAGGGAATAGCTTTGATGTTACCAAACCTCTCAGGCAAAGACAGCTGGCCATATGGCATGGGAGCCCACAGGCAACACAATTCCCCCACCCCCAAAAAAATCTGAAACTAAAATCAGCAAATTCATAAAATGGTGCAGGGTGGTGTGGGTTTGTAATTGCACAGCTCCAGTTATGGCACGTAGCCAGTAGCTACCTATAATACTTGTATAATCACATTCAATACAGCAATTCTAGAATTGCAATGTATGGGCTATCTGTGAGGGCGCATTGCATCCCCCCCCCCCAATATATACTGCAGAAATCTCCACAATAGTGCAACCTTGTAGGCGGGCAAGGAAGTTATGGATAGTAGATGCAAGAAATGGAAAATAATTGTGCATTGCTCACTATTACTACTATTATTGATAGCAACAATAATAATGAAGGATAATAATCATGCATGTCATGTTACAGAGTTTCCTAGGCAAAAAAGAGGTGCTCTTGCAGAATCTTACAATCTAAACTATACAGTGGGGAAATCCACACAAAAAGGGGAAGAGACTAGGAAATAAAGCGATGACTGTGGCTAAACACACTTAACACCTACTCAGACAGAGGGGCAAATAGGCATGTCAGGAAACTAATTGTATGGATTGCATTTTGCATGCTTGACATCATGACTGCAGGGTGGGTGGATGAAAGAAACTTTAACTTTTACTGCTTCCATGGCCCTGGTCAAGCTCTGAGGCCCCTGCAGCTGCCATTTGTCCAGGAGGAAAACTGCCATTAGCACAAAGACAGCTACACACAGTTAGAAGTGGACACTAGTGGGTCATGGCAAAGTTGCCCAACCCCCAACACCCCCCCCAAAAAAAAGCCTATTGCAAAAAGTGGTCCAGAGGACTGTGATCAAGGCTGGCATCAACAGTTGGCATGGTTGGGCATCTGCTGAGGGCTCCCATCTTGGCAGGGGATGCATGACAAGAGCCACCTATGTCTGCTTCTCTCTTCACTGGTGCAACCTCCTTGGTCACCTGTTCCTCACTCTTGGGTTTGCAGGAATGAGCAAGAAAGCAAGCAAGCAACAGCAGTAGTGAGAAGCAGGAGGAAGAGCTGTCACTGCCTACTTGTTCATTGGCTTTGACTGGCAAACAAGTGGTTGATACTCATGAAACAAGATAAGGCAGAGGAGGTGGAGCCACTAGCAACCATGGCAGCTAGGAGGTAGATTCACTGAGGGAGAGGAGGACCACTGAAAGTGCTCTGCCCAAAGGCCCACCAAACCCTGGAGTGAGCACTGACTGTCACAGGCAAAACATGGCAGCTTGTTCTTTCAGTGCCAGAGAATATATTTACCAAGCTGTTTTTAAACTTAGCCTGCTCCTTTCGTTCTGCTGGCTCTTAAGATTGTCACGGGAATTGTCCTGCTATTTTTGTGCTTTGATTTAATAACATTCAGCTGCAAGCATGTACTCTGAAGAAACACCCCTAAGGACTAAATCTGTGAGACTAGAGAGGATAGCTCACTCAGTCCATGATAGCACAAACTCAGTCCACTGGGTAATATAACATCCTTCTTCACGGGCATCCAAATAACTGAGCACATCAAGTTCTTTTAATTATTAATTGGTCTGTCAAAAACTCCTACATGATGCAGAAGATGGATAAATCTTCAAGTGATTTTGAGGGTGGAGAAAAATCTTAAGCACAGGTCAGCCACACCCTGGAGGGGAAAGGTGAGGCAAGGGAGTGGATGGCAGGAGCATATCCATGTTGCTCAATGAGTGCTCCAGGACTGATGGTTACGCGATCTGAGAATGCTTGACCTATACTGATCCTGGCAAGGCAGCCACAGGGCACCATGAGAGGAATCAGCAAGGAAAACTCCAGGCAAGCCACTTGCTCTAATGAAGTCTAATAATGGATTGTGGGGTTTTGTGTTTTCAGGGCCAAATCACTCCTTCCAGGCTCCACCCTGTTCTTGAGAAATGGTAGGCTTTAAAGGGGCAGACTGCTGATCTGGAACCAGCTCTACTACTGCTTTCTGACATTCCTTCCTATGTACATTGCTAAGTCACCATGGGCATGGGTTCATGGTACAGAGGGGAGTGGGTTAGTTTCTCAGGTAGTCAAGGCTCCAAGGACACAGACTCTGGAAGTCCCAACTCAGGAGTCCATGGCCAAAGAACCCCTGAGGCTCAGGCCAGGTCAGGAGGCTGTGGCCTGAGATAGTTTCTAGTACCACTGCTTCTGATGGTTGTGGTCTGGTGGGAGTCAAAGTCCAGGCTGCTGCTCTGGATAGGGTTTGTGACATCACTGACATAATTGTTCTAATAATCAGAGAAACAAATGAGATTGGGGGTTCTTAATACCAGAAAATGAAGAGTTAACTTTGGTACTCAAACAGGAACAAGAACTTAAAGAGAGACGGAAGGCACATGCTTGTGGGGGCAAACTACTGCCAACACCTTACTTGTGGGACTTACACTGACTGTTAATCTACTACCGGGTCAAGTTCAAGACGTTGGCACTAACCTATAAGGCCCTATATAGCTCAGGACCTGGTGAACTGAGAGACTGTCTTATATTTTATGTACCCAGTAGGTCATTGTGGTCTGCAGGAGAGCTTCTCATGAAAGTTCCAAGATTTCAGAAGCAACTTGGAGCAGGGCTTTCAGTGTGGCTGCCCTTTCCTGTGGAACAGAATTCCTGTTGAGATAAGGCAGAATTCTGTACATCACCTAGCTCAAGCAGAGCAAGGAAATAAAAACAAAGATGGATGTTAGAACAGGAGTGGGAAATCCCTTCTAACTAGCAGGCCATGTTGCCAGCCCCTCTAGATCCCAGCTGACACCCCATGGCCACTGCAGAAAGCAAAATTCCTTCCAGTAGCACCTGTTTCAGTGTATCTGTGTGCATGCACACGAAAGCTCATACCAATAACAAATTTAGTGGTCTCTAAGGTGCTACTGGAAGAAATTTTTTTATTTTGTTTTGACTACGGCAGACCAACACGGCTACCTACCTGTAACTAGAACTGCAGAAAGCAGTGTGGCTTCCATTCAGCCAGTACTATTTTTCTAGAAAAAGAGGTCCCAGAACTCACCATGAATGCCTCCTTGCTCTCTTTTAATGGCAATGGCACGCACCTGAGAGATGCTGGAACTGAGTTCTGCTGGGAATAAAGCCCTGCATCCAGCACTAACTGAAACAGGAACAATCAGGAACCTTACATTTGGTGGTGAATTCAAGTTGCACTATCTATTCCAGAGCTCCTCATGCTTTCAACAGACATTGGATCCATTTTGGAGCTCCTGAATGGATCTACCCCAGCAGTGTGGCTTGCATTGAGCACCAAATGCAAGCCACACTGTGAAAGGTGCAATCGAGAGGGCACTGAAAGGTTTCTGGTGGTTCCTTTGCAGTCACAGCTTCACCTGATAAATACCTGATATCGTATGACATCATGGCATGGCAGGGGGGAAACAGCTTCTCAGGCAAAAGTAGGACCTGCTGGTTTGGTCTGTGAGGCTAGAACATCCCTTTGCCTTTGTCAGAAGGTAGAATTTCTCATCTTCCTTGATGTTCTATCCAATACATAAAATGGAGAGGCCATGGGCTTTCATTCTGACAGGGGTAATCAGAGAAGCATAAAAAGTTTATGTGTATATGGAAAAAGGATAGGGTTTCTTTAAAGGACATAAAGAAAAACATATAACAATAATTCACGCTGTCAGTTCACTTTGCAAATACAACAGCCACCAGTATTTTCATATAAAATTAAGCATATGTCAATATAAGCCCTCCAGATGTTCAAATAGGTATCTATATGAAATTGGCGTGTATTTAAAAATATGTTAAAATATAGCAAGGGTACCTTGAAGTACAAGTCCCTTGGCAATGAGAAGGGCTCACAATATCCACTTTTGTTGAGACTCATAAAAAGCAACCAAGTCTACAAGGCAGCATGCAGTAATTAGATATTTGGGGTGCAAGGTACAGGACCATATTCAGTTATACGGTAGGCATATCAGCATAGCCATCTGTGCTATTTGTTGCAACCAAAAGCTCAAATGTTGCCTTAAACTAGAACAACCAGATGTCTCAACCCAAAATAAACCTTTTTAAGTTGCAGAGGCGTGGCAGTGGCTGTTGTTTTGATCTTCTCCCTTCCCCCAACCTTCTCTCAAGAAGGCTGCAGAATGACGGACAGGGAGTGTGGTCTTATTTTCTCCAAATGTTATGTAACTCATACCCCCAAGAGAATTAACCAGAAATAGGTTTTTGAGAAGATGGTTTTTTTTGTTAGAACTTTTATATCATTATTACTATTTTTGGCTTTCTCCCTGAAGGCACAGGCAAGATGTTAGCAACTCATGAAATGTCTGCCTGCAAGCAGCTTTACAAAGATTTCGAGATGTATAATTTTTTTCTGAAAATTCTAGGTTTAGAATACAGCGGTACCTCGGGCTACATACGCTTCAGGTTACATACGCTTCAGGTTACAGACTCCTCTAACCCAGAAATAGTGCTTCAGGTTAAGAACTTTGCTTCAGGATGAGAACAGAAATTGTGCTCCGGCGGCGTGGAGGCCACATTAGCAGGAGGCCCCATTAGCTAAAGTGGTGCTTCAGGTTAAGAACAGTTTCAGGTTAAGTACGGACCTCCAGAACAAATTAAGTACTTAACCCGAGGTATTTGTCTCTCCGTAATGAAGCAGACCTTTTAATGGTTCAGTATGCAAATCCTCCCGTTTATCACACACTACACATTCGTTGAGAATAAATATATCAGCAGGTAATATATTCCTAAACTTTTTTAAAAGGTGTGAAGAATATTTCCCCCCCCCCAGACTTGCCGCAACTCTGCCAATGTAAATTGCCAGAACCAGAACTCCTAAATATATACGCCTAAAAAAATAATAATACCCAATTACTCTGGGGTACAAATACACACACCCAGACACCTATCCCCTATCCCAGATTCCCCTATCCCAACATCCCAATGCCATGTACAGGCATTGTGTCTCAGCCCACCTGCCCCTGTCTCCAAGATCTAGCTATAACCCCAACTGACTGCCCGCATAGTCAACATTCAAGCAAAGATAATTTCCTTCTCCCCTGTACATATACCTATTTTAACATTAACAGGCTTACTGCAGAAAATAAGTTATGTTTCATTTTGGTAGGTCGGTGTCTTCCCTTCCTTCCTATTGACAGGAAAGGCTGTTAGCTGTACCACTCAGTAGTAGAGTGGGCAGCGCTGAGGAAGGGAAAGGCTGAAGCCGCTGATCAGAGGCGAATTTCTCTCAACAGCAGGGCTCTAACAATTACAACAGCCCCTCTCAGTGTGTGGCCATTGTAAGTGCAGAGAGGGTTATTTGTCATTTGAACATCTGAGCCTTACCTAAAGGATAAAGTGGTACTGCCAGCAACAGGTAGATGAATAACATGGAGATGCTGGTTGTGAACATTAACCCTTGGGCTTCAGTCCTAACTAAACACTAGGGAAAGTAAGCTCTTTTTGACAAAATGGGACTTCCAAGCAAACAGGAAGAAGTCTGTTCTGTTACAGAAAACAGCTTCACATTTATTGCTGGATAAAATATCACTGAAACAAATGGAACAACTGTACTTAATTGATTCTCACTGCGTAACATCACCACTAATTTTAAATGGATTTCAGCCAATAGAGCTCTCCCTTTTCAGTTTATTCTCCAGGAAAAATAACTGGTAATTTTAGTAGACTGGTATCATATCATCAGGAATGTTCTGTGGCTTAGAACAGTGCTACTAAAAGTGGTGGTCCACGGAACTGTGCTGGTCTACAAGCCATCGCCTGCTGGTCCACAGTAGGTCCCACACAGCCCAGATCAGGTGAGACACTTTAGGGACCAAATATGGTATTGGTCCCTGGCACATCAGGGGTGGGAATGCTGGTCCACCACATCAGATAAATTGAGAAGCACTGGCTTAAAACAAGGGAGGGCAGAAGGTAGACTGGGATCTGAAGGGAGATCTCTGGCTGATTTTAAGTATATCGGCAAGGATTTTGGATTCCCAATTGCTCACCAACAATAGCAGCAAAAGTCCCCTTTTACATTATATTGCCCAAAGAAAGTGGGGTTGGGGGAGGGAAATCATGTGTTCCAGTACTCAAAACAACATTCTTAGGCTGAGGATTCTCTATTTGTAAAGGTATGTCTTTGCACCAGTTACCATCTGGTGGATCTCATGGTTCTAGTAAAGAACAAAGTGGATCCCGCAGTCCTGAAGTCTGCCCACCCTTGCCTTAGAGCCACACTTGAACACCCCATACACACAGAATGGGCAGTAAGAACCGCTGTGCATATACCAGGTTTCCAAAATGCATCAAAATAACCAAGTGTCTTTCATGGCATCAGAATAGTGATGCCTAGAGTCAGCCTTCATGTCGAATACCTGTAAGGACTTTCACAACATGCAAGCATGACCTGAAAGTGTGGTTATTAAATATGTCAAATTAAATAAACAAGCATTAATTACAGAGGGCTAGGACTGGCAGTGCTGCCAAGCTTTTGCAGTTCTTGCAGTGCTCCTTCAAATCTTACTCTCTGTCTCAATCTCTCTCTCTCTTTTTCATACACACATGAACGTGCGTGTGCACACACACACACACACAGCCTGACCTGAGGCTCCTGCATAATATTGCTCCCGTGGGAAAATGAGCAGAGAGGCTGCTCTTGGAGCTGCTGGGTTGTAGGAGTCTCTACCTAAGCTTGTCTGCATGTCCTGCCCTGCATGTCACAATGGCCATTATCAAGAGCAATAAGATCCTAGCATGAAGGATAGGCTTAGGGTTCAGGTTCTCCTGATCTCCACAGCGGTCCCCAGGCGGAATTAAGCCAGGAGCTGTTGCAGTTGTTGGCTTGGCTCTGCAAGTCCTGCCACCAGGAGACTCGGAGAAACCACCCAGTCTTGAAAGCAGCCTGCCAGCTATTCAAACTATGTGGGGCTGAGACCACCAAATACCCAGATGGAACCAGACTCCTCTCTTCACCATAGTTTCCATGCATGCATACTTAAAAAAATATTTGGGGTCTGCAGGGGCCCCACTTTTGGTATATGGGAGCTTGCAGATTTCCAGCTTTGCAGATATTTGATGCTGGTCTTACAGAGAACAGTTTCCCCACAACCCCAGATGTGCATTTTTTAAATTCAGGCAGAGTGTATTAGATTCCTTTTCAGGTAATAATTTGTATTTTTAATTTAATACTATCTTTTCTTCATTAAACATTCACATAGATTGAGATACCCATTAATTACTCTCCATTATTCAATGCTACACCTTAAATTTAAAGAATAAACATTCTTAAAAAGTCCATAATCAAAAGGCTAACCTATAACCAGGGCAGCATTCCTGTTGGAACACTTGTAATTAATAGCTGGAGCTCTTTGCAAAGCTGTTCAGTCTCATTACTCTCTACGTAGTTGAAAATAACAAATGTTTCCATAATCTGTTCTGCCATCTTGATCTGTGTGTTGTGTCATGCATGCTCCTCAGTGAGACCTAGTGCAGCTGTTGGAGATGGTAACGATGAGGGAATACGGTTGTGGACTTTATATATCATCCTATGTAATCCAAGAAGCCACAGCTGACTTTATAGCAAGCCCTGACATGAACATCATATGCCTCTCTATAAAGCAACATGCAAAATAAGGCTAGTTCTGATAGCTACAGCAGAGCAGGGGCACAACTGAAGAATCTTGCCTTAGAACAAGATTCCCTGAAACAGGGAAACTGAGCCCTAGGAAGCTAATATGAAGCCTGCTAGCAGTCTGACATGTTGGAAGAAACTGCACATTCTCACAGCACTAGAAATCTGTCTTAAAATCATGTGGGAATGACATGTAGTGAACGCAGAAAAAAATAAAACTAAAAGGCTAGCAGAGGTCTGCAGAGATCCACTTCCTTTTTTCTTTACAGGATCTCCACTCTCCAGGATGGGGAGAAGGGAAGCTTTTTGGAGGTCGTGGGTATCCAATGCAATCAGAGACAAAGTCTTCCTACTTCTAGAAATGCCCCTGAACTGGCGTTTGACTTCACTAAGTGAAGCAACGATGCCAGGTACGAATGTCATCTCTGGAACACCCTAGGCCAATGTTGCCGAATAACTTAACTGCCCACACAGTCACATCTCAGTTCACATTGTTGAGCTTACACATGATACAAATCAACCTTGGAAGATTTTATGTTAGGGTGCTCCAAAGCCATTTTTGTGATGTGTAACAAGACCATCTATTAGTCTTAGTTTTGTGACTCTACAGCATTTAACAAAATGTTATGTGTCTTATAAGTAAGTAAGTTAATAATAATAATAATAATAATAATAATAATACATAGAGGACTAGGAGCAGGGAGAGCTACAGCCCAAATAGGGCAGGGTCAATAATAATATAGTTATTAGTATTATCACTGTATTTATAAAATTATTTTCTATCTACATGCTACAAGTGTTGTACAATAAAAACCAGACTTAAAAGTATCGTTTAAAACAGCATTAAATGTCACATTCCAACAGGAAAGCCACTAACCAACCTCTGAGAGCGCAGGAAAGTCGTCACAAACACTGGCGTTAATCTGCTTCCTCCCCACAGACTTTAATCTGCTTCTCTCACCAGCAGGTGGCCTCAGACAAGCCACTGTTCCCCCAGCTTCTGCAATTTGGGGGAGATAACCATATTGATTTACCATAAGTACTTCTTTTAAGTACTACTGAGAATGTCTGTGAAGTGCTTTGAACACTCAAAAAGAACATTCAACAAGTTAAAACTTTAAAGTGAAGGAAGCTGTGCAAGGTTTCATACGGCTCTGTTTTTGTGGACTTATGCTCCTTTTATATTGTAATGTGTTCCTCACATCCCAGAGTGGTTAAAAGTTTCAAGGGCATTGTCTGAGTTTTTGCTTCCTTTGGAAGATCATTGGTGACCTTTGCTGTATTCAAAATATTTGAGCAACAAGTTGAACATAACTGTGAGCATATACCCAGAGGTGCAGCAAGCCTCAGCACTTCTTTCTTCTTCAGACTGAACATATTCCATTGCACTGTCCAAACACTTGCCTATATTGGTCTGTTAGCCTATATGAGCTAAGAAACATTGCAATACTCTCCATAAGTAGCTATAGCTCAGTGGTAGAGCACATGCTTTGAGTTGTAGTCAATGCTAGTCCTACTCAGAGTAGACAGATTGAAGTTAATGAGCATGATTAAGTTAGGCCCATTAACTTAAATGGGTCTACTCTGAATAGGGCTTAGTTGGTTACACTCTTTGTCTGCAGAATATGTCAAGTGCAGCCCTTAATAATTCCTGTTAAAGGGGGATCTCAGGTTATTTCCAGACAACCTGTTTATTAAGCATTCATTCTGTTCTGGTTTCTGGATAATTAATACAACATTGCATCAAGCATTTTATCCCAATGCATTTTGCTGTTACTTTAAAGGTAAAGGTAAAGGGACCCCTGACCATTAGGTCCATTCATGACCGACTCTGGGGTTGCGGCGCTCATCTCGCTTTATTGGCTGAGGGAGCCTGCGTACAGCTTCCGGGTCATGTGGCCAGCATGACTAAGATGCTTCTGGCAAACCAGAGCAGCACACGGAAACACCGTTTACCTTCCTGCTGGAACGGTACCTATTTATCTACTTGCACTTTGACGTGCTTTCAAACTGCTAGGGTGGAAGGAGCAGGGACCGAGCAACGGGAGCTCAACCCGTCGCGGGGATTCAAACCACCAAACTTCTGATCGGCAAATCCTAGGCTCAGTGGTTTAACCCACAGCACCACCCGTGTCCCATAACAGTAAATATTTGGGGGAAGTGGGTTTGTTCTGCAAGACCACCAAATCCATTTCAATTGCACAAACTGAATTTACTGGTTTGAGATTTAATCCAACTTGTGCAATAGGGACAATCTGGAAGCCCTTTCGGGATCAGGTGAAGGGGGAGACCTCGGAGGGCCACCTGCCAAGCAGAGTAGGCAATACTGAGCTAGATGGATTGATAATCTCAGCCACTTCCTCTGTTACCTAAGAAAGCCAAACGAGATGTTGAAAACCAACTATAAGGATGTTGTTGATGCAATGAGAACTACTCCGAGCTTTCAGAACCCAAGTTGCCTTCTGCACCATTAGGCAAGAGCAATTTTACTATTTATAACAACAGCCAGCAGCAAAGTGCACAGTTGGGTCATAAAAATATGGCACTAAATTTAATACGATCAGTCCACAGCATCACGGTTGATTTAAAAAAGGGAGGTGGAGTTGAAAGGAGGGAGGAGGGAAGGGAAGCCAACCCTGCCCTTGAAACTGAAGAAAGGATTTCGTGTTTAAAATTGTGACCAGGCTTCCCTTTCCCTTCAGTGTGACTAGAACATACTGTACTAGAGAGATCATCAGTGTTGTACACGTCAGCCTGTTTTCCTGGCTCTTTCATGTTACTGTCAGCTACACTCTCTTCACATTCCAACAAGATTTTAGGCTCTTCTCTCATCTCTCCCTCCTCCTCCTCCTCCTCCTCCTCCTCCTCCTGTGACTGTTGTTCCATCTGCTTTTCCCATCGATCATGGGTTCCATCCATCACCATTCTAAGTATCCTGTATTAATTGTTTGGAGATTTGTTTCTAGGTTAAATCTCTGCCAAATTCCCAAGGTAATTGCATATGTCATATGCCGGCCTGAATGTATTTCCATGCTATAATTAGCACATAGGAAGTCACTGACAAGCCTGGTTAAGTGGCCTTTAAAGAATGTGGTACATCAACACTCACTGTTTCCCTTATCTTATTTTATGGTTCTGAATGGCCCCCAGAGTACTTTACTTAACATAATTTTTCCTTGCCAATTAACATTTTCCAACAGCTTATACAAGCAACCTTCTTTTTAGAATAACCATTTACCGGTAAATCTGGAGAGGATTCAACATTTCCTACTTGCTAGCAGTATATGACACATGCGGATTTTACTGTCCAGCAATTTTCTATGCTGTTCCTAAGTACTGAAGCTCAGATTATACCCGCCCCGCCCCCAGTTGTGTACCAAACATGTAACCAAGAATTTAGTTTTACTCATCTCATGAACAAGGTTTTCAGTTACTCACAACAACATTGGTGAGAAGTATTCACATGTACAATAGAGAGCAGTTTCCATCAGCGGTCACATATAAACTACCAAATCTCAGTGTTATAAACCATAGCTCTTAAAAATGTAAGTCATATACAAACATCCTTGAAAATACCTGGCAGACAGAACAGGTGCCACAAAGACCATAACACAGTACTGCACGGTGCCACCTGGCCACATCAGCAACCCTGGAAGAAGCATGGCAGAAGGTCCTAGAAGCCTTGGGAGCAACACATGGCATATTGCTAGGGCTGTGCAGTGCCCTGCAGTTGTATGTGACACAACAAAGCTGTTGACTGGATTTATAAATGGGCAAGAAATAGTATTTGCTTACATGACTTTTCAGCCTAATTTATACTTATTGCCAGACATGGTAGTATAGTATGATGCATGTATACTAATTATAAATGAGCAACAAAAACCCTTCAGATGCTGATCCCTGTAGTGCCCCTGTTGTATCCCTATAATCTACATTCTTCCCTGAGCTCTGAATAGGCCTGAGGCCTAACTTGCATAATTGCCTATGTTTTAAGGCCTATAAATCCTGCCAGTACTAGCTCCCTCTGTCCCTGGTACCTCAATGTCTCTGATTCTGATGATGATGGTGAAGATGATTAACATTTCTTCTTGCTGCCAGTCAGCAACCACATCCATTTGGTTCCTCCTGACAATGCACAGGAAATGCCAGGAACTATGGGACTCTTTTGAGAGAGCATCTCACATAGGGTATGTTGCTTGCTCTGTTTTAACACCGCCTACTCACTGGCTCCAGCGAATCTCACAAAATCTAAGAGCGTCTGTACAACATGCATAGATGCAAAGGGGGGGGGGAGAGTCTGCATAAACACCCATAAGCAGGACCTGCAATTTAGCCTCAATTCCTTTTCTCATGGGAATGGACAGCTTTGGGGGCCTTGGACCATAGGACACAGGTGACACCCCCTCCCCACCGTAATAATGCTGCTACCTGAACAGGGTGGGGCAGCAGTAAAGCTGGGACTGTGCGATTGCACTAATAAGAGCACTGGCGCCCCACCTCATCCAGATAAGCAGAAGGACTCCACTGGGCAGAGGACAGCTCCAGCCATCCACATGCACTGCTATTGTTTATCACTGGCCTGGCCTTCAGACATGCAGGCTTTTGCTGGCACCAACAGGTATGGTCTTCTCAGGTGAGACAGGCACTAACAAAGCCCCAAAGTGGGAGTTTGGATTACTTCCTTGGTAACTAGGGGCTGGTCCACACTTCTACTTGCCCCATGCCTAGGAAGCATGGGTCTGAGTGGTTTTGCCCTTGCCCCACTATTTTCCCAAGGGGGAATCCGCTCTTCAGTGATAAATTGGAGCAAACATCAAACCAGAGAAAACATGCTTGACCTTTGCTCCAATGCTTCCTCTGGGGTGGGATGCACTCAAGCAAGTGGGCCCAGTTCATAATAATTTATTCCAATTGCGGAACTCTGCAGCGCAACCTGTTCTGCAATTCTTAATAGCTGCCAATTGTATGCCTTGAATATGAGGTCTGAGAGTCAACTGCTTTTGAGCAATCTGTTCCACTACCATGCATTCAGCTGCTCATTCACTACTGCCACACTCACTCACACCCCTTTTCCCAATCTCATTTCACTTTATAGAGATATAAAAATATTTCACCAGCTGCTTGACCACCTGGTGCAAAGAGAAGCTTAGGGCAAAAGAACAAGGAAGCTGAAAATAAACTGCAGAAGAGACCGGTGTGTGTGTGTGTGGCAGGGAGAACAGAAAGATAACCCCACCCCAAGCACAACGCTAGCAAAGAGATGTTATTATGCTGCACTAATACTACAGCACAGACGTACCATCTTGAGCACCTAAGCCCATGCAGCAGGCATTATGCCTAGCGACAGAAAACTCACATGGTTCTAATGACTGCTGCAGACAGAATGCCCAGCAGTCCTGGCATTCCAGGGCTCAAAATAGAACAGCCATAGCTTGACCCCAAGTATACTGATGTCAAGCATAGGTAGTGGCTCCAGACAGAATTCCAAAGCCAGCATTTCCTCCTCCCCACCTTCCTGCCCCCTCCCATTTGTGATTCATCATGATGTTTTAACCCCTTTGATACTGAGAGCAGAAGAGCCAGACACTCTATCAGAGGGCTTTTCTCCTGCAAAGGAAAGGCAACAAATAGTTAAATAGGCCTGTTAGAACAGGTGAGTCCCACCCACCACACGCTGTGTGGAGGTGGTGGGGTGTAAGGAGAACCACTGTCACCCCCTTTCTGTTGTTCACTAGCAACAACAGGGGACAAAGCTGGCAGGGGTAGAGGACATAATATCGTATTTTTCCGTGTATAGGAAACCCCCATGTATAAGACGACTCCTATTTTTTTTGAACCCAAAATTAAGAAATCAATATTTTAAAATAGGGTTGCCAGTGTTAGGGTTGCCATATTTCAAGAGCCCAAGCCCAAACCTGAGCCTGGCTGCCCATGCCAGAGTCAGAGCCCAAACCCCTGTGCATTCACTATCCATGTATAAGACGACCGCCCAATTTTTGACTATTTTTTTTTTTAGCAAAAAGCATCGTCTTATACATGAAAAAATACAGTATATTGCTGGTGCTTGGCAAACTTAAAAGCAGGCAGGGACTTCTGTAATTAGACAGTGTTCTAGAACACTGGTTCCTATTCTTTTTGCTGGGCACTCACTAATGCCTTCGTTTGGGATCCACTTATTGGTTGCCATTCCCTGAAGTGGAAATCATCCCAGAATTCACACAGATATTTAACCTGTTATCCATCATTTATTCAGGGGTACAAGAGGGCTAACCTGTGACCCTCCAGAGACATTATGGGACTCCCAACTCCCTTAATCTTAGACCACTGACGAATGGTAACTCATTCCTGGGGGAAACTGTTGCTTCAGACAGTACTGCAGAATTGTCCTTGCCATGTCAAAAAGTCTGTATGGAACTAGGGGCCAGTTAAGGGTGCTGGTAGAATCTCTTTACAGAACTAAATATATCTGAGTAGAATCCTAACTTGTGGCTATGTATTTGTGGCACAAATCATATGATACGTCTTTAAGCTTTTAAAGTGTGTAAGCAGCTAGGAAGAATGTGATAGGAATAAACCAATGATGTCACATGGAGCTGCCACAGCATCCTTAAAGCTTTGTGATTTTTATTTTTTTTAAATTATGTTGCTCACTCCTGGCTGCACAAAAAGCAAAGGAAGCCATGTTGGTCCACTGGGAAAATGCCTAAAGTTTTAGGTGGCAATATATCTATTAGTATCAACGAAAATGTCACAGAAGAAGGAGCAAGCTTTTGAGTTCTCCAGAACTTTTCATCACATTGGATGTTAAGCAAAGTATGTGAGGTATGTGGAAAACCTGGCTTGATGCTGCAGCCACAAAGTCTGCATTTAGTCACAATCCTAGTATCAAGTGCAGGAAGAGGCAGCAGTGCAAACTTAATTGGATTAAGCTCAGCTCCAGGGGTGGGGGATCTGTCTTGTTGGACTCCAACTCCCACCGATAAGTGCAATAGGTTCACAATCTGCAAAGACAGACATAGGTTCTGCACCTACAATGTGGGAACTTCAGCTTTCAGAGATTCATGACCACAAAACAAATTGTACCAGGTTATTGGAGCAGGATCACTTGCCCTCAAATGGGGTGAACCAAACTGATAGCACATCTCTGCATGGTTTGCCTGTATGCACCATTGCTTGTCCTGTAAATGAGAATGGAAAAGCAGATGGGCCCCCAAGGATGTAGCCACTTCTTGTCCTGGTGCTTTCTGGACTATCATATAGGAGCTCAGATGTCAGAATAGATTGCTAAAGCCATTAAATTAAAGGAACCCATTAGCAGCCTGTTTGTGATGTATTTGGTGCCATACATCACATCTGCCTAATTTTAGTTTCCACATTTGCCACTCAGTAGTGAGCAGAACTTCTTAAATTCCAAACTCGTTTGTAAGGTTATAAAATGCTGGGCCTCACTAATTATAGGAGTCTCAAATTATAGAAGTGTAGTATTATGTCAATCGTGAAGTCTATCTGGTCCAATTCCCTGCTTTAGATCAGGATCCTCCAGACCCATCATGATCACCAGCCTAAATCAGGTCCTGATTTATATGAGGAAAGGCAAACCGGACCTAGGTGAAAATTTCTTTCTGACAGAAAATATGGCAATCAGTTTTAGATCTGGAGGCTGAAAGCAAAATTCATTTGCATAAGGAGTTGCAGCTTGTAGTTCAGCATTTGTGTTGTTGAGAGTACTGTGGGCCAGCAAAGCCAAAAGCTATAACGGATTTGGAACTCTAAATTGAATCACAAAGTGAGCAGCAGTCCAGAAATATGTTTTCAAATATGTGTGAAGCACTCCAGATTTCACTCTCACTAAAACAATGAATGTATGTGTCCAACATTTTCTGCTCATAGCATTCCACAAAAATGATGGCAAGTAAACCTGAAAAACACATGCAGAATAATTTGGAATATCAACTTGACCACAAAGAGCCTTGGCTCTAATTATGGTGTGCAATGCTCCATACACAACACAAGGCTTCTAAAAGCAGCACTTCCCGCTGCCTGATAACATTTGGAACAACTTTGAAGATCCTCCACTGAAGCACAACTCAAGGAGCTCTTCTTGAAAGTTCCACCCAGAGTGTGAACAAGTTCTTATGCTCAGGATCTAAAAATGCTCCCGATTACATACTAGGGGAAAGGTTGAAGCTCAGAGGTTAGAACACATGCTTTGCAAACAAAATGTCCTTCGTTTCTTTTATATTATTCATTATTACATTTATATCCCACCTTTCCTCCAAGGAGCTCAAGGTAGCATATATGGGTCTCCCACATCCTTTCAACAAGTCTGTGAGGTATGTTAAGCTGAGAGCAGTTGACTAGTCCAATTTCACTCAATGAGCTTCATAGATGAATGGGGATTCGAACCCTGGTCTCCAAGGCCCTAGTCCAACATTCTAACCACTATATCACACTTACGGTAATCACATTTCCAGGTAGGGTTGGGAAAGACTTGTCTGAAATAATGCAGAGCTGCTTCAAGATATTGAGGTCAATGGACCAATTTTCTGACTGAGTATAAAGTTATTACTAGGAAACATTACATTGGAATTCTCACATATAAACACAGGTAGAGTCATACCTCAGGTTACAGATGCTTCAGGTTGCGTTTTTTCAGGTTCGGACCCGCGGAAACCCGGAAGTACTAGAATGGGTTACTTCTGGGTTTCGGCGGTCACGCATGTGCAGAAGCACTAAATCGTGCTTTGCACATGCGCAGAATCGCAGAATCACAACCCGCGCATGCGCAGACGTGCTGCTGCGGGTTGTGAATGCTGCAGGTTGCGAACATGCATCCCACATGGATCACATTCACAACCTGAGCATCCACTGTATTATTA